GAGGGTATTGATACCCTACCATTAGTAAAAGTACTCCAATGAGTACGGATACCAAAAAGGGCTACGGGAATATGTGACTAAAATATGGTATATAAACCTTGTCCTTTGGTATCAATACCTAACAAACAATATTGATACTTTATGAATAGAGTACCATTACTACCTAGAAAAAACCCTAATATTAGTCATTTGAATTACTCTTACTGAGTTTACATGAGCAAGCTCTCGTTATAGAGCTAAACGCCTCACATTGTTATTAATCCAATTCGCAACTTAAACTATTACTCGTATAGGTTATTTCATTCCCCAAGGCCCATAAAGGTAATTTAGTAATTTCACCCCCAAGGGTTTTCTAGTAATTTACCCTATTCAAAAGTATATCGAATGTTTAAATATTGTGGAAAGAGTACTTAATAAATTTCTAGTCTTAACAATTTTTTTTGTGTGTTCTTAAGCTTTTCGTATCACTTATTATGACTTAGAGTATCCTGATTTTATCCATTGAGGGTATACCAGTCTTCAATACAAGTTTAATGAGAAATCACAAATATCATACGACATTTATTTAAAGTCTTACATTTTTAGAGATAATTTTGGTTCCTTATAGGGCACTTTTCACAACTAAGGTTAAATTGGTAATATTAGTCCTCTAAGGGCCTTTTAGTAACCTTTGTCACTCGAGTTAGATGCCCGATCTTGATTGATATTAAATTCCTCACTCTTGAGTTTATTTGACATCTTGAAGTTTCCAAACCACTTTTGGTATTGATACTAAACCTTTGGTATGGATACCAGTTCATCCGATATGGATACCAACTTACCCGATATGGATACTAGTTTATCCAGTATGGATACCGACCCACTACTCTCGATATAAAGAATTTGGTATTGATATCGAGACTATAGTATTGAGACTACAACCCTCAGTATTGATAATAAAGGACTGGTATAGATACCAGTTCATCCAGTATCGATACCGACACCTAGAAACCTAGTTTTCACCCAGAATATGAATAATATCGATATTGTTACCCAAAACATAATATTTTGCTTAGAAAACACCCTAATTTATATTAAACACTTGTTTTAGGGTCTAAGTTGGTTATTAAAGCTTATGAAAGTTATTAAGTGTCATTATACATCATTTTTACACCTATCTAACATAAAAAAGTCTATAACATCAAATCATGCACCCATCCCCCACATGTTTCACCATCCTCATACAAGCAAGTTATTCTAAATTTTATGTACTACAAGTATTAAGGGAGAGTTATAGCGTGTTACCTTAGCTACTAGGTATAAAAGAACCTCTCCAGCTTACGCAAGAATTAACTTTTCCTTTACTTAACTCTTTGGGGGTTCTTGGACCACTTTTTTTACCACCAAAAGCCAATATATGATTCCAACATGAAAAAAAGAATATTAGTTTTTAAACAATAATTAAAACACATGAAAATCAAATTAAAACTATGGGAGGATGTTTTTCGAGCTTAAACCCTCCTAAAACCTAAAATGGGTTCATGATCACCATTTAAGAAGATGGTTAGCTCATCTTAGAGCTTATAATTCAAAGATCGTGAATCTCAACTTAGATTTTTGAATGAGGCTAAGAAGATGGAGAAAGGTGTAAGCTTTTCTACTTTTCTAGCTTGAAAGAAAAAGAGATAGTGAAGAGGAAAGATAAAGAGGAATTGGAAGTGTTTGGGAAGAAAAAGAGAAAAGTGGTCTACCCAAACTCCACCAAACCCATGTGAAAATAAACAACAAATCCTCCCAAATCATCCATGTTTTTATTCAATGGGTAAATTACATTTTAAGTCCCTTTATTTTCCTTCTAAGCTTAAATATTTCATTTGTATCTTCCACAAGACTGATTTTACCTTATTAAATGAACCTTCATGCTATAATAAATCTATTAAATAAATTATTGAGTCAATATGAAACTAATATATTGGTATTAGGGGCCTTACATGTTATCTTAGTGTAAGTTTGTCTTTAAGTTGTTAATGAAGGTCAAGATGGAGAATGCCATTTTAGCGTCGACCCTATGGTTCTGTCTAAGCTAACTCAAGTTGAAGGTTGAATTGTTTCAAGATTCTCGTGAGTATTGTAGCTTGGTGGGAGTTCTTCTTTATGTCTTCCACACTTGTCTAGACATATTTTTTAGCATGAACAAGGTTGCATAGTATATGCATACTCCTCGAACTGGTCACATGGTGGTTGTAAATAGGATTTTGAGATATCTTATAGGAACATTGAATCACATTGTTGTTGTGTCTCCTACCTCAACTACATGAAGTTGCCAACATTTACAGATGTTGATTGGGGAGCCAATTTAGATGATAGACGATCAATCATAGGTCATTGTGTTTATTTAGGTGATAATTTGATTTCATGGGCCTCAAAGAAGCAGAAGTCCGTGTCGAGATCCATCATGGAAGCTGAGTATAAAAGTGTGGAAGACACTACAACCGAGGTAGTTTAGGTGAGTGCTTTGTTTCAGGATTTGGGTGCTGAGTAGCTTGGCGTTCCTAGGATCTGGTGTCATAATAGTAGTGCAGTGGCTATGACTGTTACCTAATTTATCATGCCAAATCCAAGCATGTTGAGCTAGATGTCCACTTTGTTCGAGAGAATGTGGTAACTAAGCAAGTGGTTGTCAATTATGTCCCTACAAGCCATCATATTACAAATGGTTTCACCAAACCCTTTGCAAGAGCTGTATTTAAGACATTTCATTCAAAAAGTTTGTTCTTAGTATTATCTAGGGGAGGAAAAATAGTAGGAGAATATTAGAGCTATTAAATGTGTGTGGTTGTTCATGTGGTTGTTGAACAGTTAAGTGGTTAGGGTAGGTTTTCTGTTATTGCAGGTTGTTGTAGTAAGGCTATATAATGATGTACTTTGCTGCTTGTATAATACATGTGATGAAATACACTTGTTAAAAAATTTCTATTAAACTCCTCTCTCTTTGATACTTAAAAAGTCATAACCGTGAATGGATCAAAAACTATTCAAAGTCTTATGTTTAACCAATGTTTACAAGATCTTTCAAACATTGTTTCTCTTGCTCAAAGAAAAGCAACTTGCAACAAGGGTGGCTCTAATAAAAAAAAAGACGAGTTAATGAAAGTATCAAATAATTCCATGATGTTAAATAAAGAGGTAGGAGATATCTTTTAAAAATCATCTTGGTTGACGTTGCCATTTTTTAATAAAGGCAACAAGGTTGAGGTTGAGGGAAATATCAAACAATTTATGGAGCGTATGTATGATGTTTGAGAAGGAAATGAGACAATCAAGAAGTGAAAGTGGTATTGAAAAAAATACAAGACATAAGATGTGGATTGTGGAAGATGAAGTAGAAAATGAAAGTATTTTTTTAAAGATTATGAGTGTTGTCATGAAAAATAGAAATGCATGTACAAAAATTATTAGTGGGGCACAAAAAGCGGCACCCAAAGGGGTAGAGGTTTTATTCAGTTTATAAACTAGGCTTAAATTTTGAAAATATACATAACAATTTTTTTTTGAAAAACACATGTGTTTGAGAATTATTTTAGGATTTAAGTTATTTTTTATAGTGCACTTGGAAATCGTCACAAGAAAATAACGAGTTCAATAGAATATAGTAAAAAATAAAACTCATCATATGAACTGAAAAAAATGTATATAACTCATCATGTCTTCATTAAGAGTTCCAATTATTTATTATATTTTATGGAACATGTCGTTCCCTCATGATGAGATTCACGATATTGTAGTAACTAGCCTAGATTTTAAAATAATTCTCAAACATTTCTATTTCTTAAAAAAAATCCTACCTAGATTATTTAGCAAACGTAGTCTTGTGAACTACTTGTATCAAGCTTTGAATATTAAAATTAGGTGGATTTGTTTTAGGAAATGTAAGATTACTTTCGGGAATATGATTCTCATAATATAACATTACTTGTAGTATTACTTGAATGTTACATTACCTTGTTTAGTTTATTTAACATGGATGTACGGTAACAATTTTTTGTTAATGAAATATATGATTACCTTAATATATATATATTATCAACTTGTCTTTATGATTATTTTTTTCTAATAAGTTAAAATTTCATATACTTGGAATAGATTTTACCAAAAATCTAAAGTAAATTTTTGGAAATGATAAAAATTAAAATACATAACAAAATTATTTATACTAGAACTATTATGAAAAAGAATAATTGTTTATGATAAATTTTATCATTGAAGCTTTTGCTAGTTCAGAGTAATTAAATTAATTTATGAAAATGATAAAATTAAAATACATAATATGCTAAAATTATTTATAAAATAAGGTTTAGAGATTTTTTTATTATAAACTATGCAATCACAAAATAAACAAAAATTTGCTACTATTATTGTCCTTGCTTAAAGAGACAACAACAGAGATAAAAAGACATTAAGGTCCAAAACAAAGATAGTAACATAATACCTAAAGAATCAAAGGGAATAATATTCTCATCCTAAACCTAAAAGCACGCTCCTGTTTGTAATATATTACTTCCTATTGGGAATCTTTCCAATCCAAACATAGGTATTAGATTCTGGAAAAGTTTTTTCTTCTTGTAATCATCTACTCCATCGTTCAAACAACCCCTTAAGGTTTCAGGTTCAAAAAACCCCTTAAGGTTTCAGGTTCAAATATTGTATATATAGGATATGAATGTTTATTGTCAAATCATTAAAAGTTTTGAACAAATACTATATTATATTCACCCCAAATTTAAAAAAAAAGATGATTTTTTCTTTCTTGCAACCAAAATCCAATTATTTGTATTTATTAATGTATCATTTGCAATCTGATGGCTTGTAGGGACATAATTGACAACCACTTGCTTAATTACCACCTTCTCTCAAACAAAGTGGACATCTATCTCAACATGCTTGGACTTGGCATGATAAATTGGGTTAACATTTATAGCCACTACACTACTATTGTGACACCAGATCACAGGAACACCAAGCTACTCAACACCCAAATCCTGAAACAAAGCACTCACCCAAACTGCCTCAGTTGTAGTGTCTACCACACTTCTATACTCAGCTTTCATGATGGATCTCGACACGGACTTCTTCTTCTTTGAGGCCCATGAAATCAAATTATCACCTAAATAAACACAATGACCTATGATCGATCGTCTAGCATCTAAATTGGCTCCCCAATCAACATCTGTAAATGTTGGCAACTTCATTGTAGTTGAGGTAGGAGACACAACAACAATGTGATTCAAGGTTCCTGCAAGATATCTCAAAATCCTTTTTACAACCACCATGTGACCAGTTCGAGGAATATGCATATATTGCACAACCCTGTTCATGCTAAAAAATATGTCTGGACGAGTGTGACAGACATAAAGAAGAACTCCCACCAAGCTACAATACTCACTAGAAGCTTGAAACAATTCAACCTTTAACTTGAGTTAGCTTAGACAGAACCATAGGGTCGACGCTAAAATGGCATTCTCCATCTCGACCTTCATTAACAACTTAAAGACAAACTTACACTAAGATAACATGTAAGGCCCCTAATACCAATCTAGTATTATTTGAATCTTTATCTTATGAAAATAATAATTATAGAAACCATCTGATAAGCTATGATAAAGGTTACTTTTGTTTGAGATTTAACTTTTTTTATTATTAAATGTTTAAAAATAACATTTTGATCATATATGTTATCTATTTATTATATTTTGATCGTTAAATACTTAACTCATGTTATATTGATGGTATCAAACATTAACAAAAAAAGGTTAGTTTCTAATTTGATACACGAACTTTCGATAAAATATTAATTTGACTGATAAACTCTCTCAATCTCTCTCTTAACCCACGTTATCATCGTTTACTATTAATGACACTCCGACTACCTTCTCTTACCATATATGATGGAACCAACAAAATTTATCTCTTCCCTGTTTTCTCCACTCTCTCAACTTATTTTTCTTCTTTCTTTTTGGTTCATTTCTTATAAGAACTACTCATTATCGTTATTTCACCCACTGCCGTTTAGTGTTTTTAATGGAAAAAAGAGGCTAATGCCAGTACATCATATCCTTATTCGATTATAAAGGGGGCCAAAGACATCTCTTACTAAACTGACAAGTATATCAGTCATAGGCGAATCAAAGAGCATAAGAGAATTTTCAATTGAAAGTGACATTTTAGCCATGAAATCGACGGATGTATTAGCTTCTCGTTGAACAAAGACGAAATCAACAGACCAAGCATTGGTGCAAGAAAGCTATAGATCGATCCAGGTAAAAAGGACTATCAGACGAAGGATGAGAGAGCAAACATCCGCATTATCAATTTGGATAATTATCTGCTCAAAAACATTTGACCAAGCAAGTTTAAAGCCCTTGTATATGATCCAAAGTTCGAAATGAATAAAGAAGAGAAACCAAAGAACTTGTTAAAAGTAGACATAAAGGTACCTGTGTGATAAAAAAGAACTCCACCAGCCGATCCATTGCATGAGGTATAAGAAACAACTCCATCACAATTGAGACTAACCAAACCAAGGGGTGGGGCTGCCATTGAATGACTTCCACATAGACTGCATGAGCCGTAAGTGAGACAATAGGTGGAGCATAAAAGTGTTTAGTCCATAACATGCTCAATCGTAGAACGGTGTCAAGATTAGTGTTGCAGGACTGAAAAATAAATTAATTCCGATGCTTCCAAATTTGCCACACATTGGAGACAAAGAGAATATTCTAATTAACTCCTAAATCAACGTAAAAATGGGAAGAAGATAAGTTATCATGGAACCAATCTGCGTGCATATAGGAGTAAACATGATCATTGAAAAAATGACGCATAGCGAGGCCCAAAGTTACCACTCCACTGAACAGTCACGAAGAATGTGAGTCGTAGATTCCTCGGAGCTACCATGTAGATAGAACACGAAGGGTCTTGGCTTAAACCACAGAGGTAATTGTTGTAGTTGGAGAGGATTTTATCCCTCCGAGCAGAATTGTCGTTTAGTGTTTTCTCCGACTAAGTATGATACCAAAATGTTTATTTTCTCCACTACAGCAAAACTGGCGTTTTACGGCTTTTTAAGCGCCGCAAAAAACACCTGCGGCGTTATGACAAACGCCGTAAAAAGTGCCGCTGAAAATAGCACCGCTAAAGTTCGCAGCTTTTTTTAACGGAAAACGCTACAATAGGTAACGATATAACGCCGCAATAGGTTCTGATATTTAACGGGTTTGTTCTAAAACGCTGTAATAGGTTTTGAAATTTAGCGGTGTTTTTGGATACAAACGCCGCTAAAGGTCTGGTATATAACAACATTTTTAGGATACAAACGCCGCTAAAGGTTTGGTATATAGAGGCGTTTTCAGTATATAAACACCGCTAAAGGTCTGGTTTATAGCGGCGTTTTTATAATACAAATGCCACTAAAGATCTGGTATATAGCGGAATTTTTAGGATACAAACGTCGCTAAAGGTCTGGTAGATAGCGGCATTTTTAGAATACAAACGCTGCTAAAGGTTGCTATATAGCGGCGTTTGTTAAAAAAATACTTTAATTGGTATTAATAATTTGCGGCGTTTTTTGATACAAACGTCGCTAAATGTATGATATATTGCGGCGTTTTTATTACAAACACCGCTAAATAACACAGAATTTAACAAATTAAAAAATATTGTCGACTACCCTAAATCTGTTTTTTCAACCTGTTCCATTATCCAACAAACATGACAACAATAACATCAAACTCTATATCTATAAAAATCAAGGTCAAATCCAAAATAATAAATAAAAGTTTTCATTAATGTAATATAAGTTCAGTTAAACACAGATCAATAACATTAACATAATGCTGATAACATAAAAGAGACTATGATGGTTGATTTTGAGGTTGATTTTTCTGTATGATATGCATCATATCATTGAGTCGTTTTTTAAACTCTTCACATATCTATTGATATGTTGCTTCTCTCTGTGCTTCCGCTACTTTTCTTGCTTCATTTTTCACTTTCAAGTTAGCCATTTGTTGATCCATCTCAGTCAACTTTTGTTTTAAACGACTAACTTCTAATTGGGAAGATTGAGACTGTGATGAACTGGATCCAAAATATTTGGTGGGAGTAACAAATAATCGTTGACAATGCACTCGACCATATCTTTCAAGACCCAAAACGTCATTAACAAGACCTTGACTCGAACCAGTCGTATAATACTCCACCCTTTTCTCCCTCAATTTATCCTAGTAATAAGGTGAATAATTAATTAAAATAAAACTGTCATGGTACAAATATAAATAAAGTCAGGTAAATTTAAAACATCTACCCAATAAGCATACCATAATTTCTGCAGCTTCAGTAGTCATAGGAGTGTCATCCTTCTTCGTATGTGTCATGTCGAATAATTGGATGCGACCAACTTTAGAACCAGATGTATTTTCCTACAATATACCATAATATAATTACCATGAGTTAGTATGTACATGGAATACAAAAAACAATGTCAATAATCTATAATATCTCCTCATTAGCTATACAAGAAAAACTCTTCGATCCAGCCGTGTGCGTAAACTTTTGATGTTGCCTGCTAGCAACACCAACATGCTCTCGATCCTACAATGTCAAACAACCACTTTTAATGATAATTTATCATTCCTTACAATTATTTCTGAAAAATATATCATACATGTCCTTTTTGTGAACTCCAAAATCTGACTGTATCTTCTCATTGGTACCTGAGCATTCCAGGTGGGACTGTTTGCAGCTTCTCTTCAAGGCTGAGATCATTCTTGAAGTATTTCTTCTTTAAGGAGCTCTTGTGGTCCCTCTATCTCTTCCCTAATGCTTGCTTCACATAATCGTCAGAGACCTCTAAAGAAAATTTCTCCTATACAGCAAATAAGTGTGCACCGTAAGTATACATTAGTATTAAATTTCTATAGAGTATATAGTAATAATGACATTATTACCTTAAAAAAATCCAACATTTTTGTTACTATTAGGCATTTCGCGCCATGACTCATAATTGATCGGCAACAGATTTGCATTACGTCCAACTATGACTAAGTAACCTGCTAGAAGACGTGCTTCTGGGCCAATAGGTTGACCGGCATCCTTTCTTGAAACTTTGACACGATTCCCAAGAGGAAGTTGATATAATTCCTTCAAAGTTGTACGTCTTCGAGTCTTGCGCGTTCCAGCATTTTCAACTATATAAGAAATTATTAAGTGTCAGTTTTGAAAATGAACAATGTAGCAAATAAAGTTTCAAAGATTACCTTGAATTTCTACTTCTTCTTCAATAGTTTTAGGAACTTCGGAAGAATTTGGTGCATTTGATTCATCGTTATTTCTTTCTTCATGGTCTTCAGAAGCTTGAATGACCCGCAAATCAGTTATTTTTCTCCTCGGCATGATATCTGTAATAAGCAAACATATGTAATAAAAAATGAATTAATTAATGAATATATTGAAAGACAACATCTTAAAGGTTATAACATTATAAATAAATAAATGAAGATATAAAATTGTATGACATTCTTATGTAATGTCAGTTGTCATAAATATCTTCATCAACGTCCTCCCGAACCCATTGAAATTGTGTTGTATTTATGATAGTTTCATCTAAGTTTTGTGGTAGTAGAGGTAAACATTCTGATCTTGTTTCAATTTCATCCCTACTTCTATCCCCGACGTTTATCAAGTCTCTGAGAGTATTTCGGATCACAACATACCAACCGTCATCCATTGGATCGTGATAATAAAATACTTGTTTCACTTGAGAAGAAAATACATATGGTTCATCCATCAAACGTTGACCCATATGAATTAATCGAGAGAAATTCACCTTTATAAACCCGAATTTATCTCTTTTTATGTATCTGTTTACATCAACCCAGTCACACCGAAACTAAATTAATGTTCTTTAGTTTTATCATTTATGTCTATATTACTAGGCCACGACTAAAATTTTAAAATTCAAGAATTATCGTGACTAAATTAATCATTGATACTAAATTAATCAAATCAATATTATATTAATTCATTACGCATCCTATGCATGAAGACATCTACCTTTAAAAACTATGTAGAAGTGCAACTAAAATAAGCCCTCATAACTCATATCTATGTCAAGAAAAAGAGGAACTGAGTATGTTGGATATCTGTGCGTTGTTATTGTTATAGACTAAGAAAAGTTTAATAGTAACCTGGGTTTCACGTTCAAGCGTATTGTCTTGAAGAACAAAGCAGTCACGCTGGTATCGTCAAGGGTCTTGTTTGTACTGCCAAAGAACAAAGTAAATGATGAAGTTGCATGCAAGGACTTGAGAAAGTAAAAGAAAATTCTTTCAACGCATGCCTTAAATGTTTGATCGTGTACTACTATTCAATAATTATTTAACTTTAACCAACTGGCGCAAAGCAAGGTTCAAACTTTACTGCAGACAGCATAAATATTTAATTTTAGTTCAAAATATAGCTGTGAATAAAATGATAATAGATGGTATACATGTTGTAATTCTAGATGACCAAGAAGTAAAATGATACCCCATTTTTATAATCCAAATCAAGATTCAAATATCTAATTCTGCAATATGTATCAGTATCATAAATACAGATAATATATGTGGTTTCGATTCTACAAAGCATAGTAATTTTAACAACTTAATCTAAATATTATTCGAATATTCAAAGACATATCAAATATCTAATGACATCCAAATCTACAATCCGAATTACACTTCCTTTGAAATTAAAGATTAACCAGAAACTTCGCTCGGATTAGAGAAACAAAATGAAAGTAAATGGGGATAAATTTTCCAATGTAATCAATGTTTTAGCGCAGTTCTAGCATTTCCTAGACAAGAAAGATTTAGAATCGTTATAAATCAATTAACCATGAAAAATAACATTCTAAATAACTAGCAATGGAATCATGCTCCCAAAGTACATGGTTCCATAATATTAAATGAATCTACACTATTCCTTTCTCAGATAAATTTGAAAGCTAAAGCTAAACAAAAGATTCAGATTTCACCAAAGAACCTAAAATTAGCGATCTCAAGTCCTATGTGCTTCATTTATCATGTGTACAAATTACTAATATTTGGTTTAACAAATTAAATGAAATAAAAGGGAAATCATAGTGATTGACAGGGCACTTAAGAATCAGAATTGTCCCGGAAACATTTGTCTCTTAAGATATCACAGCTATGGTAATATGAAAATGCAGACACATAAGCACAAACAGTATACAACTTAAGTTTATTAAGTTTTACAATATCAAACTTTCAGAAAAGGTTTTATGCATTGATTAAATTAAATCACAAGAATTTATTATATTCATGAACCATAATAAATGATGACTATTTTAGTTTAAGGTTTGAGTACCTGGATGAGCCAAAGCCTTCCAGTCACCGGCTGAGCAGACAACTTGTACGATGAAGGAGGCAATAGGAGGATTATCCCTTGTCATATTTGAAATTTCTGGGTATAATCTAACGTGCAACAATCTGTTTTTCTCCACAGATAAATGCCTTCATATCACAGAACAAAAACAAAAAACAAGATCAATCTTAATGAAAAAGAAACAAGTTTGTCTCCATAGCAATCAAAATTTCACTCAAACCCAGAATTTTGACAGGGTCATAAACGAAGGTTAAAGTTCAAATAATCAACCAAGAAACAAAATTTTCTACATGCTTATTAAAATTCAGATTCTTTAGTGCTTTAATGCATACATACGTACCATTCGTTCAGTACCAAAAAATACCTTGTTGAAAGATGAAACCCATGGCGTAATTACAAACGGTGATATGGATGAAAGCAGCAGGGGTTTTGTTTATGGATTGATGGTGGCGTGAGAGTCAACGGTGATGGCGCGACACTGGAACCGACGGCGTGAATGGTGGCCACTGCAAGGCCGATTGCGGCGTTTTGTTTGTGAGGGAGAGCGGAGGAAGATATGGAGGATAGATGGAGACGAGAATAGGGCTCAGGATTCGAATATCTAATTTGGGAATTTAATATCAATTTGCGGCGTTTGTAATCCAAACGCAGCTATAGTTATATTATATCGCGGTTTTCTATAAATGCCAGTATAGTCCATATTGCGGCATTTTTGTTTAAAAGTGCTCTAAAAGTACAAATATATTGCGGCGTTTTGTGAACAACCGCCACTATATCTTACACCTATTGCGGCGTTTATATAAAAATACCGCTAAAGTACTATTCTATGCCAGCGTTTGTTATAAACGCCACTACTGTCCAAATATTTTATGGCGTTTGTGTTTAAAAACGCTACTATATATTACAACTATTACGGCGTTTGTATAAAAACGTCGCTTTAGTACAATTTATTAGTGGCGTTTTTATACAAACGCCACTATAGATTAACTATATTACGGCCCTTTTAGATATAAACGCCACAAAAAGTTAATTATGTAGTCGCATTTTTGGATTCAAACGCCACTAAATACCTTTAAATAAATAAATATTTGATTTCTTCTATACATAAACTAAAATTAATAACATGTTTTTTATGTAATTAACAACAACAATACATTTTAATTAAGACATAACTGATGCATAAAACTACTTAACAAAAAATACATTATAATTTATAAACATGAATTAAAGTTATGCATAAACATTTTTCACCATATTACACCTATTATGGCGTCTGTACTTTAAAGTTATGCATAAACAGTCTTCACCATAAAATTAATACTTAACAACAGAATACATTAAAATTTAGAAACATTAAAGTTATGCATACAAAGTCTTCACCATATTGTTCACTTGAATTTATTCTTCACTGCTCATTCGTGGGAAAGGACATAAGAAAGTTGTTTTCCTTGTTTGACGATGCATCATTGCGTTTTTCCTCTGTGTAAACTATATATGGAGAAACTCTTCGTCCATTTCACCAAATAAATCTCGTACATCCGGTTCACCAAGAAGAGTCCTTACGCGCTGTAGTGCTTCACTTGAAACAGATAACAACCTTCCACCTACAGTATGAAACTTGATTGGACTATCAGTAGAGGCAGCGTCGTCTTCAATGAGGATAGATATTGCTTTTGAAATTGAAGATTCTTTCAACGCCATAAATTTAGCAATTTCGGTTCTAAACATCGGGTCTTTATCTACTTCTCTGTCATCGTTCTCAATAAGCTTTGAATATCCTACATGCGTGCGATCTATGAAATTTCAGAGTACAAAAAAAAATATAGTGGCATAAACTTTCAATGATTAATTATTACCTTTAATTAGGAGATCAGCCATGGAAGGGTATTTTGCAATATGAGGGCCTTTCAGGTCATCATCGACTTTCGACGGCAAGTTCGGACTGATAGCCTCCCAACGATAATTCGATCCATCGTCAGAGCAAAGACGCCACATGGACATTCCGACGATAATTTGTCTTACAGAATGAAACACCTGCTATTTGTACCACAACCATTTGTTCACGTTTTGAAAAGCTATTATTATCATATTCGAAAGCTATTATTTTTGTATTCGAAAGCAAAAAAACACAGCTCCCAAGTAGTAAACCAGTAAAACAATATGTATAGATATTCTTTTCCTATTCGAAAGATATTATTTTTCTCCATTACACCAGCTTTCTGGGTTTTCCCCATTTTCAGAATACCAACAAAAAAATGAAAAAGTTTTGTACTTAGAGAAGAGATCAAATCGTACAATTGTGAGATAATTGTTCGCCGCTGAGAGGACCGATTTGGTCGCCAAGACAAACAAAAGAGGACGCCGCTTGGAATCGAATGAGTGTTGTTATTGTACCAGAGAAATCCCTTGTAGGGAAGAAGTGTTGAAATGAATTTAGGGATCGGGTAGGAGAAAAGGGTAAAGCATATATTGACCCTTTGGCGGCATTTTTTAAACAAACGCCACTGTAGTAAACGTTTTTGTGGAGTTTTTTAAAAATGCCACTATAAACAACAAACGCCACTAAATTATTAATCTATTACAGAATTTTTTGCACAAACGCCGCTATAAACAAACCTATTACAGCGTTTGTTTGATAAAAGCCGCTAAATTAATTCTCTATTGCGTCGTTTGTTGGACAAACGCCACTATAAGCAACCCTGTTGCGGCATTTTTATACAAATGCCGCTAAATTACTACTCTATTGCGGCGTTTATTGAAAAAACGCCACTGTAAACAAATCTATTCTGGCGTTTTAGTTATAAACGCTGCTAAATTACCACTCTATTGCGGCGTTTGTTGAAAAACCACCGCTAAAGTATAATTTGGTGGCATTTGGATAGTAAACACAGCTACATGCTTAAATTTTATGGCATTTACCCTAAAAACGCCGCTAAAACGCTGCTATAGAACACTTTTGCTGTAGTGCTCAACCTCTTTATAATGCACGATTTATTATCTAAATA